TGCTGGTGTAACTGTGGAAGCTTGGAAGCTGTCACATGTTGGTTGAGCAGATGAAACCTCTGAGAAAAGGTAGAAGTTCTCTGTGGTGGAAACCCAAGCAGGAATGACTGATTATTACTACTACGTTAAGTGCCTACAGAGGAGGTGTGAATGTGATGGGCTCAGCCATGGTCTTAAGAAGTACAAACTGTGATACTTTGATATCAAACTGTAATGGTACTTTGCTCCTCTGAGCATTGGCTGAACGTCCACTGAAGCCTGTTCAGCGTTGCTGGATCAGATATCTGGTCGTTTTTCTTGTATTGGGTCCAAAAGTACCTTAAAGAGGAAGGTAAGTATTTTGCAGGCAGACACATCGGTGAAGTGGCTTGCCTAAAATGATACCCAAGAGAAGGGCCAGGGCTAGAACTTGGTGGAAAACTAGGAACTGAGAAACTCCAGCAGTGTCTGTCATAAGAGTAGTTATTCTTGTCTGACATGTACAAAGAACAGCTTGTACTTTTTTTTAATGTATGAATGCCCAGATAAAATTCAATTATTCCTTTGGCATCCATCAGACCATTGCTTTTGCCCATCTCATTGTAAAGGGATGAACGTATAAACGTTTACGTAGGAGAAAGAGACCTCAGTATGTTGTTATATCTGGAAACAATCAAGCTGTTGGGGATTTTTTCAGCTAAAAGACAAGGCTGAAAGTAATTTTTTTTTTTTTTTACTCCTTGAGGAAAACGTATTCAGTAATCCCTTTTCTTTGGGCCACACACACTGTAATTGCATCGTAAGTAACAAGTGAAATTGGATTCTTCTATTACATTTACATGCACAGCTAGGAAGGGAAAAAGAGAATAAAGAAGAGTGCCGGCTGAAGTGCATTTGAGTTTAGGGGTTGCACAAAAAAGGCCACAGTAGAAGGTTAGTGGTTTCACGTCTAACTCAAGCTTAGCTTGTAACACGTGGGATTGTTTCTCCCCCACATCAGTGTGTGTGTTGAAGTGTGATGAGCATGGAAGCGAATGAACCTTGCTGTGGAGTTTATCAGAGAGCAATCGGGGTAATTGGGCTGACCCAGAGATAAAATGCTGTTTGTAGATGGAAAGACTGTTCCTAGCATCTCTGCTTATGGGATTTTGCTAATAGAGAGGACTTGGTTCAATCACGCTGAGTTGCTGGTCTCCTCGCAGTGCTGCCTACCTGCTGTGGTGGCTTCTGGAGATAAACCAGTCCCAAACTCTTCTGCTGGCAAATCGCTTGTTTGTCAGGCTTGTTGTGCTCTGCACACGCTGGGCTGATGTCGTCCTTCCTCATTTGTCTTGGAGAGAATCTGGATTCATTCTCCATCTGTTTTGTAATGGCAAAACTTCTGCTTTCTTGCTTCAGCAACACCATGGGTGGGTCCAACCAGTACTAAACAGCCCTGAGCATGTTGTGTCTGTCAGCAAGACAGAAAGGCTAAAGACACACACGTTGTTGCGTGGAAACCAGCTGTTGGCCCAACATCTGCAGCATCCCTCATCACAGTAACTTAACGTTAACAACACAGCCCACAGTAACTTAACGTTACAGACGAACAAGGAAAGACCTTTGAAACGTGCTCGACGCTGAAGGGGTTGGGGAGCAGCGCTCCTACTGCTTGCAGGAGTAATTCTCACAGCTCTCCCTTCCAACAAGACCAAACATCTGATACCAAAATGCAGCTGCTGCTGGGGTGGGGGCGGCTGCTCTTATGGAAGAGGTAAGGGGTTGGATGTTGGTGTTCTTATCATGTTAAAACAAGTGAGTCTGTAAGAGAGCCTGTCTAGCCTTGCTAGACTATCAATGCTGTTAATAGTGTACCCAAACTGGGGATAAAAGGAAATAGGCAGATGGTAAGGATTGTGAGTCTACTAGATAGCAGTGTAGTGGAGCAAATAACACCTGTGCATGAACATGAGTCTCTCTAAAGTTTATCTTCCATTGACACTTTTAGATGGGGAATGTGCAACCCACCACAGCATTTCTAAGCCATCCATCCAACAAAAACTTTTGGGCAACGCTCAGCAGCTCTCAACATCTAGGAAGTGACATTTCCTTTAACGTTACGGAGCATGATCTCTGAGATGCCTCGGATGAAGGGACACAGCTCGCCATGTTTTTGAGTTACATATTCAGACCTTTGGGCACTGATTAGTAGCCATGGGGGTTCATTGCCTGTTGAAACTCCCTGGCTTGGCATGGTAATTAGGTGATTACGCATACCCTGGAAAAGCAGGTTGGTGGTAGCGCTGAAGCTAAGTGCCTGTGGGTTAATATTAGTTAAAACAGACCAATAAAAGGAACTCATGAGCTTGAAATGCTTCTGAGGGAAGCATAGTCCCGGTGGATCTGTTACTCAAAAGCACGTATCTAGTGCTTGCTGTACTCAGAGTTGTCTTCAGCAATGGTTCAAGCCTTGGGCTCAGTGCAGAGCTTGTCAGGGAGCCTTGCCGTGAAGGTTAGTGATAGGCAACAAAATGATGGATGCAATTCATGTAGGGGCTGTGCAAGGAGTTGACCCGTTTCCTTACACCAGGAAAACTTGCCACCGTGTCAAGAGTCTGCAAAGACCATCTTCTGTGTGAACAACTTACCCATGTGCGGCAAAGCTGTGCAGCATGGGCAGGAGATCCAGTCCAGCCTCTGCTCTGTTGTGCTTTAGCACAAATCTCTGGAGCCAACCTCACCCTATGACAGTTTTAAAAAATTCCTGCTTTTCCATCCTCCCTTAACTTGCCAAATCCTGTCAGGACATCTAATTAGTCCTTGGGTTTCAATTAAGCCCTTCATCAGCGAAATGACATTATTTCTCCTCTCGCCCCTCCCCTTCTGTTGCAGTCTGGATTTTTTTTTTCCAGCAGTACTGAGGCTTCATAACTCTGCACAAGATAAATAGATGCTGCAACAGCTCAGTATCTCTGAAAGATCAGGCCCTGGAGAGTCCCAACACGCTCAGAGAATCTAGGTCTCGGGTACAAGCAAACCAGACGCCAGATGGGCTGGTGAGAAGCTGACGTGGCAAGAGCAGGTGGAGGATTTTTGTATTCCTTCGTGCTTGCCTTCCCCAAAGATGCGGTGTCAAACCAGCCCATCACTCACAGGTAGGGTCTGGCCGGAGGACCTGCGTGTCCCAATGGCTTTACTGCGCTGGCAGGACGTGGGCTGGTTCCCTGAGCCCCAGCCCCTCCTTGTGTTTCAGGTGCTGCTTGTTCCACTGTAGGAACATAAAAATACCATTGCAGCCTAAAAAAAAAATGATATAAACCTTCAGCTGTTCACATGCATCTGTCGGTGTGGACATAAAACAGCAGGTATGGACAACTTCCATAGATTTATAGGCCACGATGACAGACATTTTAATGTGCCTTAGGTAGATATGTATGAATCCAGGGCTCATAAGACAGGGAAATACACTGAATTACCTCTCTCTCTGGGCTACTTCTCAAGAATATTTCTGGCCTTGGGCAAATGTGAAGAGCCCAGAACTAAGATAAATTGGTTAGCTCCCCATGATTAATAAAGGAATCATTATTTTTAAACACGTGGTTTGGGAGCCAATTAATATCAGTCTTCGGCTATCTTTCATGCTGAACAAGCCTCAGCTCGATGGAGGTTTTATCCCATGGAACAAAGAGATGAAAAATCCGAGTTGCATTTGTGTTTGTACATAACTGCTGGTACGTGGGCAAGAGCAGGAATAACTAGTCGGTCACCAGTGTGAAAAAGCTAGTTGTGAAATCACTAGTACTTTGATTGATAACGAGAGGCATTTTTGTGCTGTTTCATATATATCTAAATATCGTACTGTGTTTGCATGTAACTGTTTAACCTGCTCCTGGCGGGACCTTTGTGTCATGCACTTGAATGTACAAAAAAAGTCCTCGAGAGTCTTTACAAAGAGTTGCAACCAGAATTACAAAACACATGGATGAGTTCCTAGGGCTGCAATCACAACATGTCGTTATTTGGTTCATTTCAAGTATGCAGCAACTATTAAAGAGTAAAAAAGATGACTAAGGACCCAAAAGGAAAAACCAAGAAAAAAAAAAAAGGAAGAGGTACGAAGATGATGGACAGTTACTGTGGAAAATGAAATAAAAAAGTTACTGGGATCTCGCTGCCTTCAGTTATCATTTACCCTGTCCACCCATAGCCCTCTGCCTGAAAAGGGAAAGGAAGAAAAAGGGGAAGAAAAACCGTGACAAGAGGGAATAAGACCATGTAAGGAGAAGAACTGAATTTAACTGGCACATGCTCTAATCCTTAGTTTATTTCTGGTTAAAAATATAGCAATCCAGTGCAGTGTAATAAGAAATCTGCTGAAAAGGTAGCAGAGAAACAGCTAAAACAGAAGCAAAGCAAAGCTGAATCCGCAGGTCAGGGCTGTACCCAACAACTCTGTATGTGAAATGTCAAGGAGGACTTTTTCCCTCCTTCCCAACCCCCCCAGATATATCTGTATATGGGTTTCATCCCACCCTCGGGTTGCTGCCACACTCGCACCCCTTCTCCTGTTGAATGGAGCCGCAGTGGGTAGAACTGAGGGTGGAATTTGGTCCCTGGACGTACCAAATCCCAAACGAGCCATTCAGACTGTACCTGGTGGTGGTGGATCACCGGCAGAGCCGATCTCCGCGGTGGGGAAAGACAGCGTGGGGAGGGGAAGAAACAGTACAGTCGTTTTTGAAAAGCGAGGGGACGTCAGCCATTTCCAAGTGATTGAGCTAAGACCACACTCTTGTGATTGGGACCATAACAGCTGAGAACAGGGATACGGCATCTTTAATGAGTATGCATATTATCAGTGGGGACAGGGGAGGGGAGAAAATCAAGGCAGGCATATTACAAAGATGGTATAAACAAACAAATTAAGTGACATAGAAAAAAAAAAAAGAAAAGAATACATCCTTAGAGGCTGCCATTGCCAATGATGGTTTTTGTTTTTCTTTTTTTTTTTCTTTTTTTTTCTTCTTTTTTTTTTTACAGGGACATGTTGGAAGCTGGAATATACATCCTGCATTACAAAGTGCAAAATACTACATGCTCAGAGCCCAAGCATGATGTCTGAAACAGTCCACAGCAAGATGTAAGAGACAAACCCACCACCCTCTCCCGCCTCTCTGGGACATGCTCCAGTGCTCCTCCCCAGATGCCTTTGAAAAACAGTTTTATCTTATTTTGCTTTATTTTGTTTTATTGTATCCTAAGTGGATCAGAATTGAGCCCTCTCTCCCCAGTCCCTCCCCACCAGTCTGCTCCCCGGCATCTCTGTGCACGCGTGTATTTGGGATGGGATGCTCAAGTAAGGTTGCTCCTCGCATGTTGGCGAGCACGGCACGATGACCAGCAGCTACTCAATTCGTGTTGCTGAAGGTGCTTGCACGTTTTTGGGGGGAATCCGGGTACACATTTTTACCCAGGAGAAATTGTCTGTGAATTAAAAGTAGCACTGGGTGGTTTTCCAGCCTTGCCATGGGGGGGAGCAGCCTGGGGAGGAGGGGTGAAGGCAGGAGGGTTGTGGGGCTACTGCTCACACCTTGTGTTCCCTATTCCCCCCCTGCCCCAAGAAATTTAGCAAAACACCAATTGCTGCTTTGTTTTAAAAACAAGTAACAAAATGGGGCCTATTGCCCTTCTCCCATCTTTCACATCCTGACGGGGTTCATACCTTCCCCGTGCTCCTTCTCTCCTCCTTCTTACAGCAACGTTTCTCCATTTGCGAAGGGAGAAGGAAGAAAAGCCTGATTTTGCTTTTCTCTCTCATTTACTTTATCATTAAAGCTGTTGTGGATTTCCCTGGGACACTCAGCCTGGAGCATCCCAGGACCCGTACATACGTCAAACAAAATCTCCCCATGGTCCCCTCATCTAGTCTCCACTTTGGGGTTCATTACTGTTGTTACGAATATATGTTTTTGGGGTGAGGGGAAGGGAAATGAGCTTTTATTTTGTTGGGATTCCTTCTCATCCTTTCCAGTGTTGGGGGGGCAGAGTGTTGATAGCATTTTGCCATGCCACACAGCATAGTGTTATACAAGCAAAGAATTTTGGCTAAAATCCAAAAAACATTACCCAGGAAAAAAGGCAAACTGTGAGTGAGACTCGATCGTTTGTTGTTCTTCTGTGAAAAGACTTGGAAATTGTCGTAGGACAGTTCGAGTTATGATTTTTCCCTTTTTGTTGTTGTTTGGTTTTTCCCCCCCCCCATTCATACATGTAACTGTTATTTTTGCAAACAAGACAGTCTTGAATTAGATGAAAAAGTTAATAAACAAAATGGCGACTCCAATATTTAGTAAGATCACCATGACTACCAGGATGGGAGCTGAGCCCTGGAAGAGAAAGAGAAGGAGAGGAGTTAGAAGGCACGTTGAAAGTCTGTCTAAGGCTGCTTTGTAGCAGGGGTCGGGCGCTGCACTGGGTCCGGGATACGGCAGGGCAGGCAGGTCTGCAGACGAGCAGGCCCCAGAGAGCACATGTACACCCTCCAGCAAACATCTCAAAGCGCCTGGTAACCCTCACTGAATTTTTGCAGGCTGCTGCCTTAGTGAGGAAGGTGTGAATAAAGATCTCCCTAAGGGGGATGAGGTGAGCAAACAGCAGAAGCGGGGACTAAACCCAGATCTATTGCCTCCGTCACTGTGACAATAAACAGGTCACCCCTAGGTCTTTCATCTAAGCACAATGTCCTCCTAAGGCAGCCGCTTGATTCTGCAAAGGCAGACAAAATCCCTCTCCTGTTTTACCAACAGAAATAAACTGGGCTCTGCCAGGAGCCCCTTTGCTCCCTCCCCATGCTGAGCCATAGCCCAAGGCATTCTTGGGGCCCGCAGCATCCCTGGGAGCACTGTCCCTCTTACGCCCGGGTGAGAGGAAAGCTGCTGGACTTCTGCTTTTCTGAGCCACTTCAACACTTACTTTCTATCCGTTTGCCTCAATAGACACGTATATCTGCAAGTCTTGGGGCAGACTCTGTTTACTGTCATGCATTAGCACAAATGGCATGTAAGTCCCAGTGTGAGCCCCGGACCCAGCGTCTGCCAAGCAGACACATGGATGCACACCCACCAGACCCATCTGGGTTAAGACGGCAGTTGCTCATGGACTCCCCCATGTTGTGCATAGAGGAAATCTGGCCTTAAAAGAATAACTAGAATCAGCTGCTTACCCAGGGTGGTCAATGAACAGGAAAAAAAAAAAAAGATTGTATTGGATCATGTAGCTGTTTGGGGATGGTTTGGAGGAGTCTTCAAAGGACATTTCCCAATCAACATGATTGCTTGTACAGGTATCCTGATAACAGCAGAAGTCAGGCCAGCATACGGTGGTCTATGTTAAGGCAACATTTTGGGAAAGCGATAATAACCTTTCCTGAGGTTCACAGGGACCAAATTAAGCTCCTGGGGTCTGTGTGGAAACCATTGCAGCAACTCACATCACAGCTGGCCTGCGTCAGACACCCACCGTAGGCTGGGTTGAAGCGCACCCCAGAAGCATCCGTTACTTTCCACTGAGCATAAAGGCAGCCCAGATAACTTGTGCTGGACCCGATGAGGATGTGGCTGTTGGACCCTATTAGCGTCCCAGGAACGATGGGAAGAGACCACTCAGCGTCAGGACTGCAGACAACCCTCCCAACGCATCTTTCTGCAGAACACCGGTCAGAAAAACGTCCATCCTGCCACCTTGTCCCTGCCATAAAACATTTGCTGTCCTAAAGTGTTAACGTGGCTGGCATCAGGGTGAGCAAGCGTGTGTGCAGGTAGGTGGTAGCTATTTCTCGGAGTAGCTGGTATCTTCGTCTATTCTTGCTGCAATGGAGCTGCGCCAGTTTTAATCGCCTGGAATGCTTTTCTCTATGCCCCTGTCCTCGTAACAAAGCTCCTGTGGCTGTTGGGTTGGCATGGGGCAGGGGTGGGCACCCTTTCTAAGCAAGTCCTTGTACCACTCTGCAGTGCTGCTGGAAAAAAAAAAAGAAAAAAAGCTCCTTGCTGGCCAGAGATCGTTTCTCTTCTGAGCAGGCTGATTCAGTTCGCATTTGGGAGTGGGTGGGAGAGAGGATGCTGGAGCTTGCTGGAAAGGCATATTTGTAGCTTAGCAACAGGGTCAAAGGAAGCCAACCAAATGGAGGGATTGCGGAGAGCCTCTCCTGGCAGCCAGGTATCCACGCCTGACTGCTTCCAGCAAATCTCTCCGCCTGCACCACGCCAAGCCTTTCAAAGGCAGAAACCACCCCCCTGTTGCCACTCTTTGCCCCCCCCCCCCGGCCCTGCCGCTGCCCACCACCGCC